GCCCCGCACTTCGGAGTGCTACATCGCGAGGGCGTAAATGCAAGCGCCGTCGAAGACTGCGCTGGAGCGGCTAGGGAAGGGCTGGCGGCTGGGCTGGCTCCGCCACAGTGAGCGCACAAATCTGGAGTTCCGGGCGCTCCTCGGCGCGAAAAGCACACTGTGCACGGTCGACGTCCGGCTTGGCATGGGACGCAAGTACTGTGGGCTGCATCGCTCCGTTCCTCCTGGCAGCCAGGCGATGCGCAGGCGAATTGCCGACCAGGGTTGTTGTGGCAAGAATGGTTGTTGTAACCCATAGCATCCGCGATTGAAAAATATCAAGATCGAGCAAAATAATCAAGAGCGATTGGTTTGTTGAATAAAACCAATAGATTATATGGTCGTCGGTGATAGCGGTGCAAGATCAGCACTGTCTAGAATCACTCCCACATTCAATAACAAGAATCAATAGGTTTAGTCGCAGATCAACGAATAATTTCAATAGTTCGAGCCAGAGAATTGATAGATTTGTATGGTTAATTTCAATAGAAATATGGTTGGTAGTCATTACATGTATGTACATATATACACATATGTACATCGTTATGTACATGTATGCACATGTATATATCTACGTAAATGTACATACATATATAATATTATGAACATTATATGCTGCATATTCATTATCATCCATCATATATCATATACCACATATCACGTACATCACATATACACAAGTTCCCCAGAGCCCGAAGTGGCCGCGCCAGGGCATGGCCTCGCCCTCGCGGGCAGGCGGAACCCCCTTCCCAAGGAACCCCAGCCAATCACCCAGCCGCGGGCGCCCCGAGCCCCTCGGCGCGGGCGGCGGCGTCGGCGGCAGCCTCCAAGATAGTTGTCGTCTCGACTCGAAAGGGGGTTGAGGAGGATGTGTTGTGGCGGCAATATCACCTCCAGAAAACTTCCCACGCGCCAAAACAACGCAAACTAGGCCCCGTTCTGGGCCCCCGCGTGACAGACAGGCGAAAACGAAACGCCCAGGCAAACAACTATCCAGGGGAACTCTCAAAACCTTTAACTCAATACTTTGTTTAAGCTCCAGAACTCATCATCCCCCTCCAACGCATCATTCCTCCTCGCTCCCAGCCCCTTTTCTCGAGCACAGCTCACGGCGGAAGCGAATATGATAGCGTGCTATTGTCTTGGAACGGAGCGCCAAATAGAATCACAAATTGTCACTTCGTGGTCAGATCAAACCACAATCAAATCGTATTCAAATCAAATGAAAGCAATACTCGTAATTTCTCCACGGAATTTATGGAGGGACCACGGTATGCTGCTTGAACGCTCTTTTCATGCATAGGACGCTGATGATTTCTCCGCGCACAGCCCATGATAACGATTCCGCTAACCGGAGTCCAACTGCACCGAGGCGCAATCCATTTCGCTTGCTCTGGCAAGTGCGCTGCAAGGTGGTGTTTCTGGACGATGCTGTATCGCCGCAGGCCCCTGGGCATCGCATCCTTTGCCAACCAACCGTAGTGGCCGAGCAATGCAAGCATCGCATCCGAGAAGCGGGTTTGCACGTCATGGGGCCATCTAGTTTCAGACCGATCACACATATCATAAACATCGTTCAGGGCTTTTACGCATTCATATCTGTGGTGCGTGCGAACAAGGTTCGACTTGTGATCCTCTGCTAACCGCAGAGCCACAGCTGCAAACTTCCTCACCCTCCTGCCTATTACGTGTTTCAGCCAAGGGTAAAACTCATTCGATTTGGCGAGGTCCGAGCTTTCGAGCTTCGGGATCCTGTCATTCGACGGTGTGCCGTTCTCATTGTAGATGCATGTGATTATTCTGTTAAGTAAAATCATTCCCGCATCTCTGTTGCCAGGCAGATCGTCTTCCAAGATATCCCACAAAAGGTTGCCAAATACGTGACAAGAAACTCCAAGGTCCATGACGTGGAGAATGTCTAACTTCACCGTATAAACGCTAACGCCAGGAACCATATCGAACAGCGCATGTTTGTATGTATTGAAAAGGTCATGGTGCGACAAATACCTCGATTTCCAAGGCGCGTCCTTCCTGAAATCATTAAACGGGCACGGCCCTGGAGGCGTCTTATTATCACACATGCAATATGCACATGGGTAGTTACTCATTGCATACGGGAACTGAAACTCTTGACAAAACCATTCTATATCGCCAGCAATCACGGATACAACTGCTGCGGGGATTTTTTTTCCAGCCAGAAGCCGCCGCGGGTGACCCATGGGCCAGTCCTCACCATTTGGTTGCTTGCTGGGGTGTTTCCCGTCGGCGAGAGCTGACAGCGACCACGCCAACACGTGCCAGATAGCAGCCCACGTGTTGCTTCCAGCTTGGCATCCTTTCGGCAAGGCAACCAGGGCAAGCTGGCTCTGGCTCGCAGACAGATTGCTAAGGATCCCCCTCATTGAAATCACAGTGACGCTATCGAACTCGGTCATTGGCGCACCGTCGCCATGCAACAACAACGGCCTAGGGAACGACGTTTCCGCCATGTTTTTGCGAGCTAGTTCTTTGAAGTATTGGCTGTGCTTGTATTGTGGGCTGCGTTTCAAATCCTGCCCCTTCCAAAAATTGCAAACATTGTCCATACTCCCCATGACTTCTACAATCTTGTCATGCTGTTCCAAGCAAGCCGCCCAATCATGAGGGCAGAAGACATCGACGTGCATAGCCTGCGTCACCAACTGTCCATCAACATCCTTGACTTTCAAGGTGGTCAGCACTTGCGCTGGCTCTGGTGCTGATAAATTTGAAAAATATGCACGAACTAAATCCCTGCGGCAATTGCCTGTCTGGTGACCGCTGGCGCCGAGAGACGCCAACTTCTTCACGTCGGGCTTGTTGGCGCCGCTGTCAATAGCAGCTTTTGCTAGTTCTTGTACCTGCGCGGCCGAAATCTGCCCCCATGCGAATTTCTTCATCAGCAGAGTCCAAAGTGGCGAGTGATCCCGCCCGTCATCGGAGGAGCGGCGGCGACGCGTGTCCCGCCTCTGTTGTTGGTGCCCCCCCTTGCGCTTCATCGCAAGAAGCCCGCGCATGGTGCAGGTCGCAGTCAACTCGATGCTAATTAAAGCCAAAAAAGGCTAAGGAGGAGGAGGGGGGGGAGGAGGGGCGACGGGGATTTCCAGGCAGGAGGGGGGTAAAGGTAAACTCTCGCCGAGCAGATAAGCCGAATCTTAGAACAGGCCGACGATGAGGAATTCTTTACGCTTCGCGTATCCCCACCCCCCACGCCACTGCTCCCCCATTCACAGCCCTAGCAACGTTTGCGACTAGCACGCGCGCCCGACAGTCGTCGCCCGCCCGGGTTTTCAGCGTGTGCGATCGCTTGGCCCCGCTCATTTTCTGTCCCTGTTTCTCCGCTCTTCCTTCCGCATCCTTTGCTCATATCCTCCTTGTCGGTGTGGGGGGGAGCTAAGGGGGAGGCGGAAGTGAGGTAGGGGGCAGACAAGACGCTCTCCTCGGTGTGAGTCGTTCGGGCTCCTCGTGGTGTGAGGCCGTTCGGGCGCCTCGTCCTGGTGTGAGCGCCGTTCGGTCCCTGCTCTTGTGGTGCGCGAGTAGTTTCGTCGGGTCTATGTCGTGGTGTGAGTCGTTCGGGCCCCTCGTCCTGGTGAGAGTCGTTCGGGCTCCTCGTGGGGCCTCTTGGGGGCCTCTTGGAGCCTCTTGGGGCCTCTTGGGGGCCTCTTGGGGGCCTCTTGGGGGCTTCTTGGGGGCCTCTTGGGGCCTCTTGGGGCATTTTGGGTGCCTCTTGGGGGCCTCTTGGGGGCCTGTTGGGGCCGCTTGGAGGCCTCTGGGTGGCCTCTTGGAGGCCTCTTGGGAGCCTCCTGGGGGTCTCTTGGGGCCATCTTGGGGCCTCTTGCGACCTCCTTTGAAGCGCAAATGAGAGCTGCCCCCTGAGAAGGACACAATGAGCCCAAAACCTTCGTACAATCAATGATTTTGCGATGAAGGAAGATGAGCGCGGCCCCCTCAGGATGCCAAAATGGGGCCAAAACCGTAGTAAACTTAATGATTTTGGCTTCAAAGACGAGCTGAGGCACCAAACTCCCCCCCCCCCCCCCTCGGTGCCAGAATCCTCGTGAGGGTCGTCGTTTTTTGGCCCTCCCAGACGTCGAAAAAGACCCCCCTGACGACCAGCGGAACTCCCTCTCCAGGTCCAGGGGGGGGGGGGGGGGGGGGTAGGGGGAGGGATAAACCCCTCCCCGAAGGGGAAGAAGGGGGGTTGAGGACAGAACGGGCTCTCTAAACCACTCACGCCCAAAGGGCTGGTGGGATTCCAGAGGATGCGGTTTAGTCATGTTCTGTTTGCGCTAGGTGTTCAGGGCATCTCTGGGGGTCCTTTGGGCCATCTCTGAAGGGTGTTTTAGTTTCAGGGACGACAGTCTAACAACCGTCTGGGCGCGCAGGGCTTTCTGGGGCATGCATGGGGCCCTCGAGGATCTGAAAGGAGTGATCATTCGTTGTATTGCCAATCCCTCCTGGTTATCGTCGTGCGTATCGTCATCATCGCCACCATCATCGTCATCATCATGACCGTCTCTCCTCTTATGCCCGCGTTCATCCATCCTCGTCCGCTTTTCCAGCCCCCTACCCTTCTACGGATCCCCCCCCGCTACCCTTCCCCTGCTATTATCGCAAATTGTTTCCCCACGCTGCTTCGCTGTGTGTTAGAGCCCAGTCACAGTTTGCCCCAGAGCTGGATCGTGAACAATGCCACCACCCATTCCCCCAAAAGGGTGTGCGTTCATAGACTCAGGTGGCGGATGAACACATGAGGGTCAAATTTGTATCCTACATCACATGTTCGTGAGATGATAATTATGTTTGTTGTTGCTTTCGTTTTTTTTTTGTTTGGGGGGGGGTGATTTTTCTCCAGACAGGAGGTGGCTCTCCACCAGAGCGAAGTCGCGGGCGCAACGAGCGCGCCCCGCACCCTCGATGCCGTCCTCCACGGCGAAGGTCGTTCACAGCTCGTCATCTCCATCCTCCTCGATGCCGTCCTTGTTCGGGTTCTTCTTGGCCGTGATCGTGATGCCCCTCTTCTTCAGGTCGACCTTGAAAGCTTTGACGAGACGCATCAGAGCGATGCTGTCGATCATCGTCTTCTTCGCGGAGTCCTTCTTGATCTTCGATTGGTTGCGGTTCTGCTTGATTTCGTCGAGGATGCTGGTCATCTTCTTCATGTACGAGCGGTGCTTGTTGATGTCGTCCTTGTGGCCCTTCGGGTCACGCTGGAAGTACTTGATGCTCACCTTGTCCAAGAACGACTCGTCCTTCTCCAGCGCCTCCTTGAATTTGATCATCCGCATCTGCACGTCGTCCTTGGACACGCCGTCGATATCGGACATCGCGTCCCAGTCGAGAGCGATCGGCTTGCCGCCCTTCGGAGCGTTGCCCTTACCCTTGCTGTTCTTGATGCCGAGCGTCTTTGCCAAGTCCACGTCAATATCGCCAGCGTCGTCCTCGACCTCCGAGTCATCAACCTCGTTATCTTGAATCATGAAGTCGTGCTCGTCGAGCTTGGTGGGGTCCGCAACCTGGAACCTGTGGAACGTCTTGTTGTCCACTGCCTTCTTGGAGTCTGAGCGCAACTGGAGCTTCTTCTGGAACGAGCACGTCACCGACGTCTTATCTGTGACCACCTGGAACTCCCAGAACCGCGTGTCCTTCGGGTCGCGCCTCGCCCTGATCGTCCCCGACTTGACTCGTGCTGCCAACTCCTCTTTGCCCCGGCGCTTCTCGGCCGTGGCGAACGGAACCCAATCCTCCTCGACCTTCCTTGACTTGTCGAGGTTGATCTCTTGAAGGTAGCCCGGGTAGTGGTTGCCGCACCTCCCCTTGTCCAAGATCCACTTCTTCAGCAGCCTAGTTTTCTTCTCGTTGCTGCCAGTGCCCTTGGTGCTGTTCTTGTAATCAGCGTCGTTGCCCTCGCTCTGACGGCTCTTCTCGAACATCTTCCATACACTCATCTGGCTTTTCTTGTCGAGCTGCCTGAACTTCTCGCCAACTTCGTCCTCTGTCCTGGCGCCGTCCGCACCTGAAGATACGATCTGCTCGTGCTTCTTCAAGTTGTCCTCGGTGAGCGCTCCGACGCCAGCAGCTGCTGGCTTCCTCATGGCACCAGCAGGCCTCTTCATACTTAGTGGAAAGCAAACTCGTCAGTACCAGGATTTTGGAACAGCTCCTCTGATTGACTTGAGCCCAAATCGGCTACTGAACAAAACTGTGTGCACCCGATCGCAGATTCACATGATGTCAGGTGAACGCTTGTGAATTCATAGATCCTCATGGGTATTCACAGCATATGTTGTGAACTGCTGTGAAGATCTGTGAGTCGGAGAACGTGGAATGTGAATTCACGTGAATATCTGTGAAACCTGGGCTCTCTCGGATGCTTTGTACTGGGCTGTCTCGGAAGGCTCTCTCGGAGGGATTTATTGTTATCCACCAGGGGGAAATGCTTGCGGGCACCAGTGTTGCCACATGGTTCCAAGATGACATCGATATGGCCTCAACATGGATCCAGCATGGCCTACCATATGTATCCAGAGAGCTGCGACTGAGCCTCGGGGGGGCCTTGCAATACTGCGTGGGCATCGGGTGGGCACGATTCAGAATACGGTTGCGACGATGATGATGACGATGATGATGATGGTGGTGATGATTATGATGATGAGGTTGCTGATGATTATGATTATGATGATGGTGCTGGCGTTGACGATAACGATTCTGACGATGATGACGAGGCTGATGATGATTCTGCTGATGACGATGGCAATGACTCCTGAGTACCCAAATTGGCCTATGGAAACTGGAGGGGGAAAATTTCAGTACAAAATTTACCCCCCTGCGTTGTGAACCGACACCGACACCGACGGGGCTGGAGAAGAGGGGGAGGAGGAGGATGATGAGGACGCGTGTTGTAGTCAAGCAAACGCTTCGTGCTCCTATCGTGCTGCTGGTGTTGCTAGCGCTACTGGTGCTGCTGATGGTGCTATTGGGGTTGTGTGCGTTGCTCGTGCAGGGATTTAGGGCTATGGGGCTATAGGGCTATAGGGTTATAAGGCATTCGGACTAGAGGGCTATAGGGCTATATGGTTATACGGCTATAGGGATACAGGGCTATATGGTTATGGGGCTACGGGGATATGGGGCTACATGTGGTGTAGGGCTACAGGGCTATAGGGCTATGGGGCTGTAGAGCTATAGGGCTGTAGGGGTATATAGCCAAAGGGCTATAGGGCTATGGGGCCATAGGGATACCATGAGACCTTACGACCCTAAGACCCCAAGACACGTAAACCCTAACTCCCTGAGACCCGAAGACCCTAAGACCCTGAGACTTGGTCTCCCTCCTCCCCTCCAAGGGGCCTCGTAGGAGGCCTTTTTTTGGTGTGGGAAATGGTATAATGTCATAGGAATTACACCATTTTTAGACCCCCCCCCCCCCTGTTTGCGTAAACGGGGAAGTTCTAAAATTCGAGTGCCGAGCTTAATGGTCTGGCCCAGTTTGTGGGTTCAGGTAGCCTAATTCAACCCGAGCAGATGGCTTGGGTGGTGGTTGGCATCTGTCACATCGCCTCGCTCGGGCCCCCCGTCCTGGTGTGAGTCGTTCGGGCTCCTCGTGGGGCCTATTGGGGGCACCTTGGGGCCTCTTGGGGGCCTCTTGGGGGCCTCTTGGGGGCCTCTTGGGGGCCTCTTGGGGGCCTCTTGGGGCCTCTTGGGGCCCCTTGGGGGCCTCTTGGGGGCCTCTGGGGGGCCGGTTGGGGCCGCTTGGGTGCCTCTGGGGGGGCTCTTGGAGGCTTCTTGGGAGCCTCCTGGGAGCCTCTTGTGGCCACGACAACGACGACAGACAGACGTGCCCCACGTTGTATGAGGCAGAAAGGAGTGTCAGAAAGAACCCAGGTCGATGCCATGCACCTGTATTCCAGAGCCTGGGTCTGGGTCTGGGTCAAGAGGGGTCGGCATTCACTGTTGCATTTTACGCGCGAATCTCTTTCAGATCGGGAACGGATCTTAATGAAGTATCTGCAATCGAGAAACGCACAGAACAATCAATATGACTGTGCAAACTTGAATAGAGTAAGTGTCACTCGGCGGTCGCAATGTGTCTCACTCGCAATATGTCTCACTGGCACGGCAAAATCACTGGGCGAGCATCTGTTCTTTGGCGTACACTACGTCTTTGAGCTTTTTTCCTGATTTCAGCATGGCCAACATTTTTTCGGCAAGCTTCTGATTTTCTTTAACTTTCTTTGACTTCTTGATCTGCACAAGCTGGGAACCGCCAGCCTCGCGAACCGCAACAGCACCGTCTTTGTAGAACATCAGCTTCAACTGTGCATTCTTGTACGTAGAATCAGGGCATTTTATGTTTCCAACGGGCTTCGTATGAACAATCGATTTTTCTCCCTTCTTGGCATCGCGGATTTCACCAACTGCGCTCTTGATGTCCTTCTTTCTCGCTGGCACTGGGCTCGTCCCCAACGCATCGGCAAGGAGGCTCGCTGGGCCGATAAAACTCGGGTCAGCCGCAGACGGTTTCTTTCCGACGCCGAGGGGAGGTTTAGCGACGCAGCTGGGTGTATGGCTATCCTTTTGCTTAGTGAACACGCTGGGAATTGACTCTCCATCAGACTTCGCACCATCGCTAAACTCTTCATCGTCGCTCTTGGGCGTTGTAGGCAAGTCCATGTTCATTATGTCAGTCATCTTTACATCTACTTGCGGTGAACATGAATCCAGATGACTGCCTTTTCCCGTGCACCCTCTCGCAGGGGACTGAAACGCAATTCCATATGTTGGGTCTGTGTCTACCAGCATGGAACGAATCTCGTTGAGCGAAATTCCTTGGAACTTGGTGCATTTGCTCATTGCCTCCTGCAACCTTTTGGGATCTTTCAAAAAAACAAGAAAAAAAAAAAAAAAAAAAAAAAAAAACAAATAAAAAAAAATCAAAAAAAAAAAAAAAAAAAAAAAAAAAAAAACAAAAACAAAAAAAAAAAAAAAAAAAAAAAAAAAAAAAAACAAAAAAAGAAAGAAAGAAAAAAATAAAAAAAAAAAAAAAATACGCCTCGCATGGTTGCACATTGTCATGATCCTGTCCGCCGTGTCTCCAGCCAAAGACGCGTGCTCCAAAAGGGTCGAAAGGGTCTGTTGTCTTGGGAAAATCACGAATCACTGCTGCGAGGCTCGACTTGAGAACACTGTATTTGAAAATCAATGGCTCCGATACTCTGTTCAACTTTTCCAAAAATTGCTTCGCCGCTGCCAACCCAGGCCCGTGTACAGCATTCGACTTCGAAAGGCTTTTGTAAACGCCAAAATCGAAAGCAACAGAGCAACCAACTTGAATGTTCCAGCTCTTGAACGCATCATACAAGTGTTCTTGGTCGACTTCGGGCACTGCGGCCCTCCTGGCATGTGTCGGGGTTCCCATGCCGCGCGTATTTAGGCACCAAGGTAAAAACTGTTCAGTTGCCGGGGAGGGCTGCCAGACCTGTCTGGGCAAAAACGGTTTCGGATTATTCCAAGCAGTTCCAAGCAATTCCAAACACTGCGCCCCCAAGAGGCCCCCAAGAGGCCCCCAAGAGGCCCCAAGAGGCCCCAAGAGGCCCCCAAGATGCCCCCAAGAGCCCCCCAAGAGGCCCCCAAGAGGCCCCCAAGAGGCCTCAAGAGGCACCCAAGAGGCCCCACGAGGAGCCCGAACGACTCACGCCAGGACGAGGGGCCCGAACGACTCACACCACGAAGAGCCCGAACGACTCACACCACAAGGAGGGGCCCGAACGACTCACACCAGGACGATGCGCCCGAACGACTCACACCACGAGGAGCCCGAACGACTCACACACGAGGAGCGCTTTCTCTCCCTCCTCCTCCGCCTCGCCCTTCTCCCGCTCCCCCCACAAGGAGGATGCGCAAGGAGGCGGAAGGAAGGAGGAACAGGGGAGATATGCGGGGCCAAGCGGACACACGCCTGAAAAACAACATTTTCGGCAGGCGTCGCAAGAGTTGCTGCTGCGAGGTGGGCTGGTGGGGATACGCGAAGCGTAACGAATATGCACTACATGCACATAGCCACCATCATAATATCGTTGCGTCGATCCCAGCGGGCTGAGTTGTAGGAAGTACGTACCGTGGTGCCAACCTACAATTACATCGAACACACGCAGTACTTGGGCAACATCATATGAGATGTAGGTCACAGTTGAATTGTTTTGATTTCGAATTGTAATTGCGTGGAATTGCTTGGGAGCCTCCTGGGAGCCTCTTGTGGCCATCTTGGGGCCTCTTGCGACCTCCTTTGAAGCGCAAATGAGAGCTGCCCCCTGAGAAGGACAAAATGAGCCCAACACCTTCGTACAATCAATGATTTTGCTATGAAGGAAAATGGGAAAATGAGCGCGGCCCCCTCAGGAGGCCAAACTGGGGCCAAAGCCGAAGTAAAATCAATGATTGTGGCTTCAAAGACGAGCTGAGGCACCAAGCTCCCCCCGCCCCCCCTCGGGGCCAGAATCCTCGCGAGGGTCGTAGTTTTTTGGCCCTCCCAGACGTCGAAAAAGACCCCCCTGACGACCCGCGGAACTCCCTCTCCAGGTCCAGGGGGGGGGGGGGGGGGGGGGTAGGGGGAGCGCTAACCGCCATGCGATTTGCTTACAGTTTTTTTTTAAACGGTTTGGGCGCCTTCCTGGGCGCCGAAGAGGGACCCGACATTGCCCTTAGAACCCTGAGTTCACAGGTAGGATGGACATTGGGTCTGAACCCGATGTGCTTTGCATCGGTTCACGGTGAGTGGATGAGTCCGGGGGGGGGGGAGAGGGGGAACCCATCCCTTTTTTTGGAAAGGAGAATGCGGGTGGTCCAATCTACGTTGCGCAATCCAGGCGGCGACGAGTTGGCGACGGCGAGCACGTAACCGCCAGACCGCCATTGAGGCCCTGATTACGGGCGGCGACAGGGCGGCGACGTCAAACACGGAGCCGCAAAACCGCCAGTTACGCCCAGCTCTTGGAAAAATACGATCTCTTGAGTGCAACCACTGTTTGAGACAAGCTCTGATTTGTTTTCTAGCAGAGCGCACTGTTCGCACTGCATTTTTTTCACGCCTGCTTTG